ACGTAGGAATTTTAATATGTTTTTCGTATTTTACGAATATCAAGTGAGAAATATGCGTGAGACGCCGGCGTGTCTCTCGTCCGTCGGCCAGCTTGTGAATTCTTACCCTCGCTGCACGTCTGCATGGAATAAAATCGAGACTTCTGATAAAGCCACAACCACGATATCGATGGGAACGAGGGAGACTGCATTCATATGTATCGAGTAGTACGAAAAGTGCCGACCAGACACGACCGTCGTCAGCGAGCGCTTTCGAGCGAGTGGCAAATGTACTCAACTCACGAGCTTGACAAGTTGAACACTGCGCTGACGGAAGAAGTGGCTGCGATCACTCGAAATCGAGTGAGTTTTTGCCTTGTGGAACCGCAGGTAGACGAATGTTTGATTGAGATGAGGGGACTTGTGCGGGGTGAAGAGCGAGACATGGGCATGGGGAAGGGGGGGGAGTAGACATCGAAATCGCTCGTCACGTCTCGACCTGTCGTTCATACTTCAGGATTCGCACCATGAGCACCTTGCTGAATAGGAGAGATGCTAGATTTAATTTGGCCCCCACTACTATTCGAGTTGCTGTTTCTGAAATTGAGGAGTCGCTCGCTTTTGTCGTCCTGCCTCCATGCGATTCTCGGTCCAACATTTGTCATAGTCGTCTCCTATGTTGATGCGGACCTCGCGAGGACTGCCAATGAAGCGATCTGAGCCGATTTGGGTCTCCGATGAAAAATTCTCTACTTGTCCGTCTTAGCCTGCGGCGTTGAAGATTTATGCCGCTTACAAAGAACTGAAGACGGATCTCACCGAAAGGAAGAGCGAACGAAAAATCCGTCACCTCTCCCTTCTTGCGCCTCGAATATGTGGAGCTTTGGGTGCGATTATAAGACCGTGGGGAAAATCCCGAGCCGAAAGATGGGAAACACTTCATGTCCCAGGGAAGTACTCCGAGAGCTCGTTAATAGCGGATGAGGAACGGCAGCGAAGAAGACGACGACAACGACACAAGGTTCAAAGTCGTCGACGGTTCCGCGTTTAATAAACATTTGCTCCTACGGAGATGGTTCCGAATTTTCCTCACGTATCAACTTTCCCCAACACGACATGGCGCTGCGACCGTACCAGACAGCCGCCGAAGAGCTCGACCCGACTGCCGGCTCGGCGGAAGGCGACCACCGATCTTGAATCATTCTTGCTGGAAGCCCCGCAGGAAAAAGTCTCCCCGCTCCTGTCGCTCCCTCGCGTATCTTTGTCGCAAATCATCCGATGATGACGGCAACAACTCTCGAGCCCTCACCTTTTTCCCTCGACGGCTCAGACGTGCGTAAAATTCTTACTTCGCGCATGAGGAAGATTCGTGCAAGTCGAATGCAGGAAGCGAGATGATTCCCCGGCTTGACAACCTCCCCTCTAATGAACAGCTCATGGAGGCACGAAAGCCGGTGAACTCGCTCAGCGAGAACCTCGGGAGGGTCCGTCACGACTCGATCCCGTGTCTCCGGAACATGTTCGTACGAAAAGCCGATATGGAAGCTCGGGTTTAAATTCTCGTATCGAGGTGAATTTTCCTCGTCATCGAGCAACCCGATGGCTTGTCAGTTCGCGATCAAGCAAGATTCGGACTCCGGTTGTGGACGCGTGTTACTCCGCAATAGTTTCGCCTAATTGTGGGCTCAAGTGAATTGCCAACAAGGGTGTTGTCGTGGGCAGGCGCTCTCCGTCCGAGCTCCTCCGGGATTCCTTGCGATGAGGAAAGCCGCTCGAGCCGAACTAGAACGAAGCGGGTTTCATAAGATCCTGGGCTTCCCTATGCTCCGCCCGGAAGCGAGGGCTCTCGTTCCGAACTCTTTTGAGTCTCTCGCAGGCCGCCACGGATATACAAGACAGCAGAGCCTTCCGCCAGGAGGCCTCGTTCTGAAGAAGTGCTTTATCGAAAAGAGCAGACATTCATGATGGCATAGGTTCGCAGCTGACGTACGTTATATGACTGCATGCAGTGGAGCGACTATGCTCGGCTTGTGATGTGTGGCTCACTGGCGATGGCGTACATTCTGTGCGTCGGTCCGACCGTGCGTGCGTGCGTCCAGCCGTGCAGCACAAGCGACGGCGGTAGAAGAAGGAGACGACGACCACGACGCAATTGTCCCGCAGATCCCCGGAGTCTATTGCCGTTATCCTCAGTCGGATGGCAAGCAAGCAGAGTGAGCAGCATGACTGGCAGGCGTTACCACGATCTGTTACCTTGCAGTTGTGGGGATGAACATTCTGCTGGCGGCCGCGTGCTTCCCGGACCGACAGCCGAGCGGTTGGCGAGCCGGCTGCGATGCGTCTGGCATAGAGTCTCTAGGGAACTCAAACTTATTGTGTCCTCTTCTCCTGAACTCCTCCTTGGGGAGACGGTTGGGTTGATTTGTAATGGCGAAACGCCACTTCACCCGACAGGGCCAACTACTCGCTAGCCAATTGCCGGTGCGTGTCTAATCCGTTACGTTATAATCGAACAGAGCTCCGAATGCGCGGACCGTCTCATCACCATTTCGATCTAACGATGAACAATCCTGCGAAAGAGAGTTTCAGTGCAAGCTCTTCGAATTCCTGCGAAACGCAGAGCCAACTTCGATCGTGGGATCCCAGAGATACAGCTTGTTTGAGATATTCCGGGCCGTCCGCGTGACGTACCTCGCTGCGTACCGCTCCCGAGGTCGAGGACTGCGGACAGCGATCGAATCGAGCTGGAATCGAACGAGAGTTTTCACTTGAGCAATTTCCTCGAACCCTATTGACGTCGTCAAGGACCTCTTTTCCGTTTCCTGCGAGAATCGCATCATTACGATGGGAATCGAGCCTCAAAGCGTTGAGCGGTCCACGTCGCGGTCTCAGGCCCCGCTGTTGTTGATGACTGTATCACCGTCGCCATTCACCATCTGAGTCGCCCACCTAGAGAAAACTGTGAATTCTTCGCCCACCTATTCGTTCTATAGGTCTGGCTCCGCAGTTATCATCTGGCGTTCCGAATTGTTTAGCGAACCCGGGAAATACGGTTGCGAAGGCCGAGACGATTTCTGCGAGGTGCATTGCTAAGGGACCCATTCGACGAGAGACGGATAGAGCACGTTCTGCGAATGAGGAAACAAAGAGCTGTCTTTGTCGCATGGACGACAGGCTGCTGCTCCCGGACGAATCGCAGCCGTACATGCCAAACAAGGAAGTCTCAAACAGTCAGAAAACGTCCTCGCACGCGATCGGCCGACTTCTGCCCACTCTCGCGCTGCTTCCGTCGAGACCTCGCACGACTTTCTCATCGATCGATCGATTTCTCGCGAGCCAACCTCGCACCTCAGCAGTCTCAGAATGTAGGACTTCGATTAGCCTTTAATCCCTAGACAAAACCTTGGATCATCTGCAGCGACAAATTCGGAAATCAGAAAATCACTCCGACGGAAAACAGGGAACTTCCACGGGTCGAACGTTTCTAGTCCCTCCGTTCCATGCGTGCGAGGCTCAGCGTGGTTAGGAGAGAAAATAGTCAACGTCGTATCAGCGAAACTGCGCACAGGAACAAGGGATCCTCGGAGCGATGGGGAAAACCTTCCGACGCGAGGAGGGGGAACGGAAGCTACTTTAGGCGGAAGTTCGATTGATCCAGGATTTGATCTTCCCCTCGACCGGGTCCCCGTGGTATCCGAAACCAAGGCTTCGCGTTGAGGTCCACGAGGTTCTCTGAGGCAGTTTGCGTGTGTTCTGAGCGGGGAAATGGTTCCGATGGGGCACAGGCGAGCAAACGCATTCTACACTCGCGCGATAATGGAGCTCTAGCAACGAATCTCGGAGCGACAGTTTCAAGCATTTTAAATCGACTGATGCAGGAGCTTTTAACAACTTGCGGCCAATGCGGGTTTGCCTGTACTGGATGCGGGAGTTCCGCGAAGAAAGCCTCGGGATCCCGTCAAATCAAGTCCTCAAGTACCGTCATCGGAGACGCACTATCGCTCAATCTGAAAGCGAATCGACTGCTCGCACTCCCGAGAGATAGCAGTTTAAGAGATTGATACAATGTGCATGGAAAATGTATCCGAGGAAAGTGACTATGGACTGAGCCGTTGCCTACGATGCGACGTGGAAACCGTTTATTTGCGGACGATGCTCGTCTCCTGTAAGGAGCTTTTTTGGTGCCAAATTCGTGGCAGGAGCTTTCCGATCGAGGCTCCTGACTCTTTGTCGGGAAAATTCGGTTTCCCATGTGATATAGACTCAATGGTAGGACCAATCGGCGATCGATTGTGTCAGTATTCTGAGACAACAGAGTCCGCAAGATTTCGTTGCGACCTCGATGTCGAAACATACGTTGTCTTGTTCCGACCATCGAATCCCAGAGTGCATGCGGTTTTTTCCCTGTGAATGTGACGGTCACAAAAAAGGCCGCAGCGATGTCAGATACTTTGTATTGAAAAAACTCTCCTTGGGTACGAAGGACTTTTGGACAACAAACAGATCGCTCGCCGAGAGAGACGGGAGCTCATTGCTGGGGAAAAACCCCTGATTCTGCTTTTTACCCGCCGCGCGGCTTGCTGACTGACAGGAAGCGAAGGAATCTCTATTACGCCGACAACCTGTCACCACAGTCGTAATGGATTCCACAGCTTCACGTCTGCACTCAATTATTGAGGCTGAAAATTATCGTCGAGACGGTCGAAACGTGCATTCTCATCGTGACTTCCCTCCGAGAGTTCTCTGCGAAAATCGATGCCGACCCCGGGAGAGGCTCCAGCCCTGCCAGAGCGTCCGTCAGGGTTGCTGGGAGTGAGGTCCTGAAGCCTAATAATTTTCCTGGACTCTCTGAAGTGAGGTGGCCAAAGGACACGAGGGAGAAAAGTATTCGGAAGTTGACGGTTTCTCGGAAGTATACGGAAGTTGACGGTGTCTTCTTGGAGGGGCCCGCTTGTCGTCGAGCCTCGAATTGCACCTATTCACCTGAATACGAACATTGACCGATTCTTCTTCCTTTCCAGAGCGGGTCCTTCTCACTCATCTCTTTGTGATCCTCAGTCTGTACACCGATAGTGGTGGATGCCAACCCACTGAAAACGAAGGATTCATCATCAAACCTCAGCCGATTTCTCCATCGGTCAAAATCGGTCGTGAGGCGTATCTCCATTGCGGTGTTTCGGATAACACTTCAGTGGAGATTCACTGGACTAAAGATGGAGAGCGGATTCAGAACTCAGTTCGCAGACGGATGGAAGGGTAAGTTCCAGCTATCTGGGATCAAGACTCTGTTCCCGACGATATTTTTCTGTCGACACTCACAGTTTCCCGCGAAATAATTTCAGGTCGAATCTTCGCATCATTCGAGTGGATCCGGAATTGGATTCAGGCGAATTCCAATGCGTCGCAACAAACACAACCTCGGGAATGACCCTTTCTTCCGATGCAGTCATGATCAATATGCTGTGTGAGTACTGAACGAGCAGATATTCTCGGTATTATAATTATCCATGAATATCGTTCCTCCTTGTGACGCCTTGGACATCCACGAATTTCCCACCTCAATAGGTAATCTAGCTCTCGGAGCGCCGCCCCCGGAGGCGAAAGCGAGTCAATGGCTTGACGATGAGCCCTATCGAAAATGAACGCCACCGACTCATTTTCATTCCTAGTCCTTCCCTCCGAAGAGGAAAAAAGCATGAACGACACTCGAGGATGACCGCAGCAGTTGAGCTATCGAGCTAGATCCCATGATTCTCGAACGATCTTCTTCGGAACTACCTACTTACCATATCCACCGGCGTCATCCGAACTGATAGAGCTGCAGTCGGAGCTCACAGACACGTGCCACATCTGTGGCTCATGGTTATCAAGATTTTCTCTGCCGAGGATTTACCTCATATTATAGCCGTGTTTATCTCAGCTTATCGGATGACATTATCCGTCTTTACGAGCCTGGCTGTCCGATTGGTTTCACCGGTGATATCAAACGCGGGAAATGGAAATACACAGAAGAGAGGGGGAGCTCGGGCGCGTCTCCTCGTTTCTTGGGAATCGGGAGTCCGACGAGCGAACGACGTTGCTCCGTCGATTGCATTAAGTGTCGCACTTACTGAATTTCTCTCCGTGACATCGGTCGAGTGACGATGACGACTTTTGTTGAGTCTCGTTTCACACTCCACAAAAAGCGCTCTTGTCCGACCCTCATTGTTGCAGCAGATACAGGAAGCGGACGGATGATTTATTGAAGAGGTTTTCATTAAGAGAGGTACGAATAAGAATTCCGCCCGGCGGACTGCGGACCGCGACGGAGCTGCGGCCCTCATGGAGTTTGTGAGTTGCGTATTTTGTTCGAAAGTCTTCCCGAATTTAGAGCGCCACCGTCTCCTCCGTCGTTGTCGTCGTCGTCGTCTCGTCGGTCGTTCTGCTCGCTGTTCCCGCAAACCACCTCGGTGGCCGTTGTCGTTGCTCCGGCGTCGGTCGTCTTAGACTGGAAGTTTTGTCTCTGTCGTCGTCCCCTTTTTCTCCTTGCCAGGACCAACTTCCTGAGCTTATCCTGAGCGCAGTTCCCGCAGACACGTACCGAGTCGCGTGCAACGAATACCAGACGAGTCATTTCCATAGCGTAGAGGAGCTCCAGACGACGACGACATTTCGGCCACTGTCAGCTTGGGGGGAGGAGAAGGCGCATCGCTCGAATAGAATTGTCCGGAACAGCATTTTTGAATTATAAACAGTGAACTCGCTCTGTCAGCCCAGTCGCTCTGGCCTCCCACGCACACCGAATTTCCCGAGGAGAGGGGATGACCGGCATAGAAGTTGAGGCGGCGCTCGAAAAGCCCAGATCGCACCTGGAGTGCCGTTCGAGGGGCAAATTATCGACATCCTGAGGAGTGAATCATCTCCTCCCCCTCCTCCGTGAGATTTCTCATCCTCTGATGGCTCCTCGTCGAAATGATTCGGCAGTCCGCTCCTTTCCGCGCGCAGGTAGTGGAGCATAGTTCCGGTATCGGGGTTGAGGCTCTGACATTTCCTGTGCAGCGAAGGAGACCCAAACCAAAAATACTCTGGCGTGGAGGCGCGCGAACGCAAACAGCGTAAACAAGAAGTAAAAATCTTAGAAACATGGGGAGAGGCTCGTCCCTAATTGCGACGGGAAAATAACGGAAGGGTTCCGATGCAGTCGATTTGGCCTGGCCAAGCTGCTGACCATCCGAGAAACATATGTGAGATGATTACGGCTTCGTTCCAAGCATCCGTGGTTTCGGTGTCTTGGCACGCACGCAAGCAAGCCACTCAGCGAGCGAACGAGGAGTCGTCGCTGTAAGCTATCCGAAATCGATGGCTTTAATTTAGCTTCGATCAGATCAGCTGCTGCTGCTACTACAAGTAGTGCCGGCTGCGCTACCACTCGCTAACTCAGAAACGTCCGCCCCACCCAGTTCGTTCCGCTCTTCGGCCAGAGCTCCCAGGTCAACCGGACGCTGCTCGGGGCTCCGAGTGCGGTCGGTCCCTTGAAGAGAGACGAATGTCCAACTGCTGAAAAGGTTAGATTCCATGCGGAGAATTCCGGAGACACTCGGATAACACGTACGAGAAACCCCGTTCGGGCTCTTCTCGCGGCTCTCGCAGGAGAACTTGGCTCGCATCCGAAACTGAGCAGACTCGCTCGCGGAGGCTGAGCGGAGCCGTCAATGTGGAGGAAGTTCATCATTTTATATAGCGAACTCAATCATCCGTTCCACCATCGCTTCCATTAAAGCTCTTATCGTATCATGCAAGGTCGATCTGCTTCGGTCAAAATTCGTGGTATTGTCAAGTGAGCCGAATGTCACTCCGATGCACTCTCGATTCATTATGCGCCTCACCAAGTTTCGAACTGCACTGGCTGATATCCTCTCATACGACCCTTGTCCGATAGCCCCCCGGTCGTCGAAGCTCTGTTCTCCTCACCCACCCGGACACCGGCGACATTTCCCCATTTTTTCTATCTTCGTCTTCTTCCTCGTCATGGGTCTTTTTGAATGGTCCACGACAACGCTTCCTGGTCCTGCCGCTCGTTGGTCCATCCATCCGTCCGTCTGTTCGTCCGGGAGTCAATCCCTTTGCTCGGAGTCGGGGATGACATTGAGCAGGGAATGACAACTTCATTAAAAACTCAAGACAGTAATTAGCTCGAGGGTTTTCCGCCGAGCTCGCTCAACTTGCCGGTTGCGCTTTTTTATGCTCACCCTCCGGTACGCATGAGCCCGGCCAGATATCCAACTCGATTCGAGTAGCAGTAAGACGAACGGATCGATGGCTTTCTTTTCCATCGACTGAGCTTATATCATGTCGAGAGCTTCTTAAATCGATGCTTAACCGACGAACGTCCGCGACACACGGCGAAAAGAAGCAATGTTTGTGTTTGAACGTTTCCGTTGTATCGTACCGCCTCATCGGCCGGTCCCGCGTTTCCGATTGAAATGCTGACAGTGCGTTTCGGTTCGGACGGAAACCCAAATACGAGGGATCGTGAGAGCGGGGAAGGAAAAGGAACACACGGTAGATCTTATTTCGCTCCGACCGAGAAAGCCAATGCACTATCGCCGAAGAAACGGGGGACAAGCAGTCAGTAGGATGAATGGATAAATGGATGGACTGATGGACAACGAAACGGATAACCTTTTCCGCTGATATTGCACTCGCCGCTATCGAACGAAATCTCAGTGGAATTCGTCTCTCAGCGAGCTCGACGAGATTCCAGCATCTCAGGAGACAGAACCGAAGGGACTGCGGCGGATCCGTGAGGAAAAGATCCCTTTGCATGCCTCAGCTTGTCCGTGGATAGAATCGCTGCCCGAAACGTGTCCGAAAGCTTCGAACCACGTTCGTTCCGGACGTTCCATCGACGGCCACCATATGTATCAGCCTGTGGCCTCATTTCGGTCAGTCGGAGATATCCATCGGCCCTCGCTCACTCGGACTCGAATTCTCCAAGGCTCGGGATCTTTCATCCTGTGGCCGACGGAGCTCTCGAGGTGGAAACTCGGAGGGGAGTGAACGATCCAGCGAGCGGTGTACGGTTGTCGCGCAATATTTTGGACGTCGATCTAGTTTCGTGGAAGTGCCCATTGTGGCCCTAGATCCGGTGTCGTCGTTCCGCTTCGCAATCTCATGCATTTCGAATGGAGCAGGCCAGATACCGCGTAGGCGCCCAAGAGACATCAGATCCTCTTTGATCATTCGATTGAGATCTCGCTGTAGGGAGTTCGTTGCAGTCAGAGAAGCAGTAGCTACGACGTCGACGACAACGACGGCGGTGGGGAAGACCAGCGGCTGGAGGGACGACATCGACGAGAGCCTGGAAAGCCATCTCCTCTCGAGTGGGATTACCCACCGACGACAACGGAGAGTCGACAACAACGGCCGTATCGTGCGGAGATACTGTCCAATGCCCCACTTTCCCTGTCAAGATTCCCGATTCCGATTCGGAGTTTTGTGCCGTGTTTATGCGAGCCCGTGGAATCCTGGGGATTATTTCGAAAGCTCGCGTCTGAACCGAGAAATTCGTAGCACCTCGGATACTCAGGGTCCGAGCGCTACGGACTCCCCATATCCAATTCTCGGTGTAAACCCGAACTCAAATGTACTATTTCATTTATTTTTTCCCTAGATCCTTAGATACAGAAAGGAAAGGTACAACGGAGTGAATAACAGAGAGAAGTTCCGCTTCTTGACAATGTCCGATGTGAGGTTCTGTTTTATTATTTCTCTCCCCGAGTCTTCGGGGAGGACGTTATCTGTCGTAAGTGGTTCTTTTTCTCGTAAGTGCAATAATTCAGGTCGTGAAGGAAAACGCATTGAGAGCGGACTTGGTGTTTAAGGCGGGAATTTATTGCGGGGAATATCTCAGCCGTTGCTCCGCTCTGCTTGCTGATCCCTCCAGAGACTGACATAAGATTGATGCCGAGTCATGCTGATGTGTCTCTGAGGTCACCGGGTTCATTTCGGCGAGCGGCTCCCAAGCTCAGAGGGGAATAGAGAAACTTTGGCATGGAGGATCTATCGTCCGTACCTTCCCCGAGCCGCTGGAAATAATCTTGTAGTCACGGCAAATTGAATCACCGTCGAACATCATTTCCATGTCCGTCCTGATTTCCATCATCATCATCAGCAGCACGTCATCTGTGGCTGGGATCGAGTTGGGAATCGTCTCCGGATCGGCACGAAGACCCGAAGCTTGTTAACACTCAAAGTGGTTCGCCGTTCCGGGAGCCGAGGCGAAAGCAGCTCATGAGGCCGATACAAACCCCAAAGAAGCGCGGGCAGGTGGAGCGCGCGATGTGAGAATTTCCACCTCATAAATAAGGTGAATCATTTGTCATCCGCGGATCGGATCGAATTCTACTGCGGAGAATTCCGAGAAGCCGACGGGTTTCGAAACTCCCAGGAAAAGTGTCGTCGCCTCGCGCGAGTCCATTCTTC